TTATATAATGACTGGCCGAGGCCTGGCCTATGGCTTTTGACGTCAATGCGGCCAGCTGCCCTTTATCGGTAAATCCCCACATCAAGCCTGAAGGCAACGGCAACGGCCACGACGATGCGAAATCAAGAATCGGTCAAGCCCAGGACGGGCGCAGTGCATTTTGGATGCATGTTGTGTCCATTCGCACGTGTCCATGAAATGCCGAAAACCGCGAATTTGCCAAATCACCATTTTGACCATTTGGATCACCCGCGATTGTCGTGCTCTCAAAGTGAGAGGCTCCTGAAGTTTTGCGATGGTTGCCACGCTTTCGCGCAAAAACCTCCCCAAAAAGCTAGGTTTCGGAGCAGAGTGAAAACGACAAACGCAAAAATCATCAAAAACCATCAAAAACCTATATACAAACAGAACATTGAACAAAGGAATTCAACAAGCTTTACAGTACATGTTTAAAACATGTACATAGGTCTTGCCGCTGTTGGCCTGAAACATTGTTTTGTATGTTTTCTTTGATTCCTACGCCAATTTGTCTTCAACCCCTATGCACTGGAGTATAGATTTTGGAGTGTGCTTCTTGAAGAACACAGTGCAAAACAAAATGTCTTTGACGGAATTTCAGCTGCAGTTGTGCCATCTGTTCCTGTAAAGCAGTTCATGTTTGAAAGCGGTCCCATGTGTAATTCGATTGCCAAACCTCTTCTCTGTACAAAGATGATCTCTTATTCAATGCCTCATCCTCTACATATGACAACATTGTCCCTTCGGAGGATATCATCTTTGGGAAAATGTTCTTTACTCACCCGCTCTCTTAAAAGTCTTCTCCTTGAAGCAAGGTCTCTCCTTTACGAAAGGGATATCTGCACACCCCTTGCATAAATAACGCATATTTACAAAGTCCGATATTTGTGCAAATGTGTTGTTTAAAGCAGCTCAATTTGCTGTGGCAATTCCCAATTGAAGGCTCTCATCCTCTGTTGAGCTGATTCACCTCCCAAGTCCTGATCTGACATGATTGTATGCTGCTAGCATAGCGCATGTATGTGGTGCGGCCCTCAACCCTAGGTAAACATGCATTCCTGATGAGACACAGCTGTTGCCTGTAGCCTGTTGTTTCTCTTCGGCTTTTATCCCCATTTCGAAACTCTCACGCACACCTCTCAACACTTGACAGGGGCCCAGGATGAATCAGGATGGCACAGGGGTCTTTGGAGTTTGGAATGCTCTCTCATGCTCACAGTGGGTCTTGGACATCGAACAACGTCATCAAGGACAACGTCATGGCCCAGGAGAAGCCAAAACTAACAGGAGGAGGGTGCCTGAAATGCTCAACCCTCTGTCGTCTGGTAACCTGAACTTATTGGTGATTCTGATTCTAGGTAACCTGGTGTCGCCTGTCCATACTTGACTCTATTGACCAACAAATTGACTTTGACAGCATCTATGCCCCGGAGACTGTGCACGGCCAAGAATGGTACGATTCCGTCATAACAGCCTCAAATGGCTATAGTCTAGCATATGCATGCCAAGGTATGCAATTGTTACACCTATGTGTGTCGGCTATGAACATGTCGTTGAATGATGCGCAACAAAACCTGGCCTCTCATATGAGTGGCAGGAGTTGTATGTTACTAAACTCAGCTACATGTTGTTTTCAAAGTAGCACTATCCCATTTAGGCAGCCGGTTAAAGACCAATGTTACCATGTTGATATGAACCCTCTGTTTCTCTTGGAGTCTGTACTGTCAAAACCGTAATAAAGTAAAGAACAAATTGAAACCAAACAAGTATATAGAAGATAGTCAAGGTGCCTTGTTTCATCAAGAATCAAGAGGCTCTGTCTCACGTCTAAGCCCTCCAAGAACCGTAGAACACATTCACTGCGGCTGCATGCGGCGGCTGTTACATCGTTTCAGCTGGATTTGCGCTTCAACTCAGCTTTCTCGGCCTGCGCCGAAGGGCTTGCAGGTCCTTAACGAACCAGGACATCCACAACTTCATCTTGAGTGGAAGGAAGCGCAACACAGTGGGGTCGGGTCAGGTCACTTCCTCAACAAGTCTTCTAAATCGCAGTGTGTTGTACTGTAATCGGAGAGTTTTGCGGGCACTTGCGGCAGGTTGCGGCCGTCTTCTTTCTCTCATGATGAATTGTCATGGTCCGCTGAGGATTTGTGTCCCGCTCCACTCAAGGCTCGTGCTCTACCCCAAAATGCGCCAGCTCGTGAAACTGGCGGGTGGCCAAGCCTCAGAAACTGGCGGGCTCTGCCAAAGACACATTAGCTGCTAAGAGCGATGGCCTCCAACCTACTTGCGATGACCTCCAACCTAAGAGCGATGGCCTCCAACATCCTCCAACCTATAATCCTACATAAGCTGTTGGTAGGGCATGTTGAGGTAGAGGACACATGTCGACGAACGCACGCGGGCTTCGCATGGCTTCACTGTGCCACCGACATTTGCCACGATGGAGCACGTTGCGAACCTCTCCTGCACATCTCATATATCTCCACCTCCCACCTCCGGACGTCACCCGAAGCGAAAGCAACTGCAGACCGAAGAGGAAACGCAAGGGCTACAGTGGGTGAAACGACGAAGCAACTGCCTGTGTTCAGAGGAAGCTAAGAGGAAGCTACGGCAAGGGAACCCGGCACTCGTAATGATGTATGTTTAAAGGATCGATGGAGCAAAGCATTTGAGGTTTTAAGATGTCACTTTTTCATGCTTTTTCCTGGCACATGTTTCAAGACAAGGATGGGATTGGATAGGCTCCATGCTTTTCATTCACCAAAGCTTCGTCTTCCTACTTCGACAGATTTCAGCAGCGTACGCGCATCATTCAGCACAACTTTTTCGTTTGGGCAGCTGACCTGCGAGATCATTGCTGAGATGCTGCGAGCACGCGTGAGAGGAGAGACAGGAGAGAGAAAATAATGATGAGATGAGATATCAAGTGCAGCTGCACAAGAGATAAGAAAACTGACAGTCTCCAGCAACTTGCACACTGCCACCAAAACTCACAGCTCGAGTTGATCAAAACACAGTGTTCAGATCAAGGTTATACCTGTCACGTTGACAGTCCTTTGTGTGGGTCAACCACCCACATTTGGCTGCTCAGTATCCTGAAGTCGTCAGACAAATTTGATCAAATATGCATCTGATTGTCCTTGGTCCATCCCCCAATTCAATTGCACCGCGCCTATTGAAATCGCACTTCCGAAGCACCTGCAATTAGAGTTAGAGACAATCGCACCCAAAGAATGTTGGCTCAGCAGCGATTTGAGCTCCAGACTGCGTGCAAAAGTTCTGAATCTTGATTGCTTTGCTGCAGGTCCAAGCCTATGGTTGGTCATCTCCGGCTGCGAGCAGAAATGAAAATAACATAAAATAACATAAAATAACCATTTGCCAACTTTGGGGGCTGTGGGCTGCGACAAAACTCCCCAGTATGGCCCTATACGCATCCTTTGTGCGACGCAGAACCCGAACTCGAGTGCCCGCACATTTCCCAATTGGCTTGTAGGCCAGGTGTAGGACCCTTGCCTTTGGCTCAGCCTCGCAGGCTGATTTCCAGCAGCTGCGCTCTTTTAGAGGCAGTGGGCTACGGCTACACCATTCATCTCATGGTTTTGGCCACTGCCTGACTTAGCCCGAGAATCTTCAAGCCACTTCTGTGACCACGTCTCAATGCTGGCGTGTAGACCTCGGGTATCTGATGGTCACTTGGCGATCTCATTGCTCACTGTTAAAGAATAAGGGAGGGAAAGTCTTCATTTGAGGCTTACAGGTGCGTAAGCACCGCACTCGAGGCCAAGCAAGAACCACAAGGGCCTAAGCATCACTTAGCTTTGCTTCGAACTGTTGTGAAAAGGGCGCACGTCGTCACACGCCCCCCCTCGGGATACAAGTTCTTCAGAACAAGCAGCATCTTGCGTCGCTAAAAAGACACTATATATGTGACTATGTGGCTATGGCTATAGTATAATATTTATTTTAAAATTATACAAGTCGTATGTCCAAAAGTTCAATGGCTGAGACTTAAGACCAACCATGTTTTCCGCGCTTCGGCTCCTTTCGGCTCCCGTGCGATCAATGAAAGGATCATGCTCCATCGAACGCTGCGGGAGACCTGTGCGAGGGCAACGTCCAGCAGTCCAGCCGAGCTGCAGCAGCAGCAGCAAAAGAGGTCATTCATGGATGATTATGCCCCATCAAGGATAAATCCGCCTGGTTAGTATTGCTTGTGTTGGCTTCAATCTACGGTTTGTATCTCCGCGCGGATTTTTCGACAGCCTGACGCCCCCCCCCCTCTACGTCTAAGGTGATTGGACTGAGACATGTCGATCGCTGGATCAGAATAGACAACCATTGGACTGAGACATGTCGATCGCTGGAACAGAATAGACAACCTCTGATTCGGATTCGTTCCATTTCATTGTAAAACGACTTCGCTTGAAATCAACATCAACAAACTCTCCCAGCAAAATGTGCAACTCCAATGCACCAACAAGTATGATTGAGCAGGGTATTGTTGTTCGATGTCATTGTGGGTCTTTCATTTCGAACGGTTTGGAGAAAAAACGACAAATCATGCCAGATCAAGTTATTCTTCGGTCGCTTTGAAGCCTTCTGTATGTGAAAAAGAATATCTGGTGCGACTCGCAATTCCTCAAGACGGTCGAAAAAAAGATCTGACAAGGAAAACATGCAAAAGGCCAAGTAGTTTGGAAGAAGACTCATTTTCAAGTACCGGCTTTGTGGATTGTCTTGCTTCGTCTGGCTTGTGTTGGTTTCCATTGGTTTCAATCTACGGTGCCGGATTATATAGCTGCTTCAGCCTAGAAGAGGTGATCTTGTCCCTGCCTTGGAACGAAAATAGAACTGTGGAACACTGTTAATAAGCATCATTAGGCTGCCTGCCACTCCGGGCTCGAGCTGGTGGCCGGCGGCATGCCGAAGGCTGTAAATATATAATCATAAATATGATTATGTTATCAATATTAAATGCAAAAGCAAAAGGTAAGGGCGCCTTGAAATGGATCCTTGTTGCAGCGGCCCTTATATACTCTTTTTTGTGTGTATGCGTTCCAATCTGTTTGACTCCTTCCCCTTCATAGCTCCCGACACTGCCTTCTCCATTTCCCCCGTCCCAGCAGCAACCCTTTTCCCGCTCGCATGCCAAAGCACTCAGCCTGCTCACGTTGAATTACGGCTTAATCCGGCTTAACAATTCAAAGGCACGGGTACGACTTACAACTCAAATCTTCGTTTGTGCATGTTTGTGCCAGCCTCTGATCTGAGGAAACCACCTCCCATGGAGCAAACCTTCTGCAAAGCTGCTCGTTTTCCTGGCATCCTGGTCAGACACCCTGACACCAGCACTCAAACACCTGGCAAATCCAGCCTCCTGAGCAAGTCTGCACGCAGCCTAAGGAGTCAATATGAGTGTTCATGAGCCTAGATTCGAGTGTAGGGCAAAATGTCCAAACACCCACGTGACAAATGTAAAGCAAACCTACCCCACCTTACTATCAACATCTTATCACAGCATATCACAGCGCATCTGAAAACTTCTCGGTGCAAAGGCACAAAGAAAACCCACCTCTTTTTAATTTTCTTGCTGCAGGTCAAGCATTGAACAAGGCATCGGCTTTCTCCCGAAGCTGGGATGCTCCACATCTAAGCTGCTAAGCGACGCACGGCATCAGAAAGGATCGCTGATACATGGTGACCGCAGCCTTGATCAAGCGCATCATGAACGTCGTTTCATTGAATCCTCCCAAACCGGGAATCGCCCAAACGGTCTGTTGCAGGCAGTGTCGGCCTGGTTCCAACAGGACATGTCATGCAAAAGGGCCGCCAAAACCACCGCGTAGATGTAGGTCCTCGGCCGTCAGGCTCCAAAAACCGTACTTTCAAGTTTCCCGCGTTGGATGTGGTCACACTGGAGAATTTTCACAACCTGTTCTTGAAGAATGGGGCTATAAGCCTAAGCAGGTGCTTACAGTACACGAGTTTAGCTCACGCGGCACGCGGCAAACATCAAGTGCTTACGCGCTTGATGCGTTCTGAGTGCAAACATCACCGCCCAATGAGCTGTTGGAGGATGAAGACTAAATTCCTCCAATGTGGGATTTGATTCCTCCAAAATGTCTTGATGAACCCTCACTGGTTTCGAAGGAAATTGCAATCACATGGCATGGACCAGCAAAGCTTACGCTCTTTGCTCACGCTAGTGCTTCAGCAACCGAATGGTTGCGCAACCTTGTGCCTAGCAGGCTTTTGCTTATGCAGAGTGTCCTCATTATGTCCAGTGCAGCGGGAAATGTGTCTGAATTTGATGACGCGGGTTTACGGGTTTACGCGGGTTTACGCGGGCTTACGCAGGTTTACGCGGGTTTACGGGTTTACGCGTGTTTACGGGTTTACGCGGGTTTACAGGTTTGCTGGGCTAAGAGATGTTTACGGTGTGTAGTCGTTCTATCATGTCTTCGACATCAAGAGGGCATCGTTTCTCATCTGTGTAGAACGGCTGTAGCATGCTTTAGCTATAATTTTTTTGAGTTTCGTTTGTCTTTTTTATACGGCGTCATGGCCGACAACCCTTCAAAAGACTAAAGACCGACGAGGTTGCAAAAACAACGACGACTATGGAATACGCCGACGATCGACGATCTTGAGGAACCATTGGTTTGAATGGACATGGGGGTGGAAATGGGAAGTGAACAAAGGTCTTGACACAATACTAGACGACCACAATGGGATGTACAACAGTTTTAGGTCTGTGCGTTAGGAATTGTCGGATTGCATTTGCTTAGGAAAACCTTGATATCCTGTTAGTAAGGAATCACACGTTGATACGCCATCGATTTGTGACCTCTACTTGGGAAACGCCGATGCCATCATTAAGTGGTTCACTTGCGGCTAGAATTCCTGGAACAAATAGATGACATCTATATAGTAAGATTTCTAAAAAGCGACGTCCTTCAAAAGGCACCAGCCACCGGCTGGATTTACATGCAAACATGTGTGCAGCAAACAGTTTGGTTGATGGCTTGCACTGAGCACCACTTGGTTTGGCACCAAGTGGATGCTGAAAATGCGGGTGTCCTTTTTGAACACCTATCAGTACAAAAAAAATGTCTTTTTTGTACTGAAAATTGTTCAAAAAGGACACAATTGGGATGTTCGTGATGTTCCTTTGCATTTCTCACATCCCTTGAACGCATTCTTCCAGAAACAAACTTGAAAAAGGTTGTGCTTGACGTGAACCTCTGCGAATCTCGCCAATACTGGGTGGTAAACCCTACGCGGTCGCAATGTAGAACGCTCCCAAGTGACCTACCTCTCAAGTGATCTACCGCTCTCAAGTAAACCGGTGTAAATCGGTAAACCGGTGTCGTCAAATACCAGACGCGCGTGATGCTGCAATGCATTATGTCCAGGCCCAAGCTTTTGGACGATGCCCAATAGAAACCCCACACTCAGCCCTGAGATTGCTCCCGAATACTGGAAAAGAACAACATTTCAGTCTGGTCCATTTGCCAAGTTCACGATTTCATGCGGAAAACAATTGTATAAGGAAACAAAAAACAACAACAAATCTATAGATTTCTAGGGATTTCTTATTTGCTTACTCGGCTTTAACCACTTCTGAAAACGCACCACTTCAACAGCTCACTGTTTTGTCGCCCTGCATGGACCGTGAAAAAACGCCAAAATGAACCAAATCCCAACGGCACAGTGACGCGAAGTGCAGAACAAACATGAAAACACCACACCTGCGCAGGAAACATGAAGCACCCAGAAACATCACACACATTTCATCACATTTCATACCCAGTCGGACACCTCTATCATCCATGCAGAACCTCCTCTGATTCCGTTTGCCAATGGCAGGACCCTACAAAGTAGCAGCTTCAACAAGAAATCAAATCCACACCTCAAGTGCTTGAGCACCAAAGGCTGTTGTTTGAATCATGATTTCGTTCAAGCCATTTGCATCAATTTGTGTTTGTGCGAGTTGATGCTGAGGGCCGGGCCCTTGTGAGCTTTGGTGCAGGGGATGGAGGGGTGCCCAAACCTCTGGCTGTACAGCTCGCCGTGCCTCGGAACAAACACCCAAACAAAACCGGCCCATCTACACACAAATCACCAGAATGGTTCGACCAAATCACCAAATCAATTAGAAACTGCCCGGGCCGCCCAGGGATGTTGCCCATGAGTTCCAAAATGTGACGTAAATGTTCAGAGCTCTTGGTGCAGCATGGCATGGTGCAACATAGCGCCTAAAAGATTTTTGAAAAAAAATAGAAAACGGTCTAAAAAGGAAACTATATATACTCCAAAAAATCCACGAACTCAACCGTCAGACACCTTTCATGTCCTTCCTTGAGGCACTGCGTGCGTCGAGTAGGCTGTTGGACTCGAGGAGTCTTATGCTCTGCACAAAACAGGAGCAACCACAGCCAATGTCCTGTTTACAGCTGAGGTGCCAAGAATGGTTTTAGCGACAGCGCTCGGAAGACTTGGCTGGATCGAGTGTAGGTAGTCACTGCCTATTCCAGGCAAATCAACCACTCAACATTGACAAGACAAAAGACGAACAGAATTCCGTGTCAATATGCATTGCGAATGCCACTCTCTGCTTGATGGAAAAGATTGAGACTCAAGCAGCTGGGGCAACCTCTTTTTGCATCTTTTTCCGGCGTAAGTCAATGCAAGTCATCCAGTCCCGAAACTCCGGCTGACGCAACCCTTGCTTTGAAGAGTCTGAGCTATGAACGTGGCTTTTTCAGAGTCTGCCACAAAACTTTGAGGAAAACAGCTGGACGTTCGCTGGGCATGAGTAAATGCATGGGTGCAGTTCTCAAAATTCATCCGGTTTTCTCATTGGTGGGAGACAACCTTGCTATCGGCAAGGAGTCCGAGTTTCTCACCTCAGCAGCGAAACGACCGAAGGACCGAAGGACCGAGCCGACGAAACTTGCGACCGACGTCAACCGCTAAATCAACCCGACCTGCAATGCCAACGCCGAGACGAGACCCAAGGCGTTCAGCGCTGTTAGTAGCAGGAAGGATGGTCTGTAACATGCTGCTCCCTGGCAAACATCCTGCAGATGTTCTCCAGAAAGTCTGCAAAGATCTGAAGCAAACATACACATCCAAACAATTGAGTGAAAAACCTTGCAAATTGGAAGTGGCACGCAGCAGCTTCTATGAAAGCTAACCTGGCCAACACTTCCTATACTGAGTTGCTGAGTTGATGCTTCTTTGAAGGTGACTTCTCCCTCGCGTCCTCGCCGTCTGAAGCTTTGCGGTAAAACAATGGCAGCACGGTGCTCATGATGATCAGCGCAGCGGCAGCCTTTCGAATCTTTCGAACCGGAGTTCGAAGTCCGTCTTTGGGACGGGCGACCGCGGTGTTTGGCTGGGCGACTGTTGTTGGGCGGTTGAGGGGCGAAGAATGGCGAAGAACAGCTGAGAAATCCCAGGTGTCTCACCGAGAACATCGGCGCGTCTACCCGATCTTTGTCAAAATTAGACTTTCTCTCGCTAGTTGTGCTTGTTTCAAGTGGAGTAAGTTTTGGGGATTCACTCAAAAACCTCTTCAGGGCCTATGTGGGCAAAACATCTAAAACCATCGAAGGGAAGCAAAGACCCCCCGATCCCCCCCCCAGCTACTTCCAAGGTAGAAGCAGCCCTTAAACCCCATCGCACAAAAGAGGCATTGGGAAACACAATCAAGCATCTTGCAGGCCAAGCAAGCCTGTTTGTTAAATATGTCCATTCTTTGCTTATTTTGATTCTTGGGGCACACAAAAGCAGCGTTCAGAGCTCCCGGTGCATGTGTAAATATATATATATATGCATTTGTATTGCGTCTATTGTTATTTGTGTGTGTGCACATGTCAATTTTCCCGCCATGTGCTCCTGGTGCACTTCGCGGTTCAATCAAACGATGTAAGTAGGTCCTAGGTTCGTGGTCCCGGCTCTGAACTTTCAGGCCGACGCATCCCTGATTTGTGGGCTCCGCTTCGCACATTTCGGCAACTATGTGCAGCTTACAAACGAACGGATAAGAATGATGAAGCTTGTAGATTGTTCTTCTATTCCTCTCCACGGATGGAGGGTTTGGGCCTTGCCTTGCCGGTCGGTTCTTCAAGAGGCAAGTGTTTAAAATGCTGCACAATTGCATCTTGTGGCCACTGAATGCACACCTGGTGACCTGCAAGAGATCGTCGCGAACCGGCCGCTGGACTGAACCGGCCGGCCTGGGAGCTCATTTGTGCGCCCCAAAGCTTTCCAAATTCAAGAGTGCCATACATCTCGTTCACCATGGGGATGATGATGGTGTAGAAGGATCCAAAGGAGAGCCCCATCAGCAAGGTCCCGACCATAATACCTGGCAAAAGATCATGAAGAAATCGTTGAACACTCCAAGTGCATGTAAATATAGCACGTGACTCAAACTCGCAACCGCTTCACCGTGCCTTGAAGATCCATGAGAGACACAAAGAACTCTCCAAGCATTGCGCAGCATGCACCAGCCTAGGTGCTGGCGGCTGGCCCAATGCATGAAAAGGTTCGTGCCTATCGCAAAAGGCTGATCTTCTTTTGTTACCCAGGGGATGTCTAGCATATCTGCTAACTCTATTGTTACAGTTATGCTTGCATTCTTTCGAACATGCACCACCCAGAAGTAACTATAGAAGGTCTCTGGTTACCTGCCTTCTCAGAGAGGAACCCATAGACCGATTTGTTGGAGTCAACCTCCGCATCCTACCCTCCCAGACGTACACAGCGACCAAGATTGGCCGTGGCAGAAGGTATGAAATACAAGTACCATGGGTTCAGCATGCTAAGTCAGCCATTCAGGGACCAAACTGAGAACTTGCAGGTCAATTCAAAGCTCGATGAGAATTGAACGATTAATTGAAAGGAAAGTAGCTGACAACCAATGAAAGCGAGTGAAGTAGGCCTTGTACTTGTCACTCAAATAGCCCGCCACGATCCTTGAAAAAGCCGAGCTGAGTGCGAATAGTGCCACTCCCAAGCTGCTGGCCGCATCGTGCCCAGCACTCTCCAAGATCAGGGCCTTGGGGACCGGAGGGAAGTTGATACTTGCAGCTACCTAACAGCAGAAAATGAAGCTCATTTTAAGGCAATGTGTAGGAGCGGGTCTACTACAGTAGAAGGGCCTTGCAATATCTTGTGCACATTTCACTGTTCTTTCCTGCCAACCTTGGCGGAGCTGATTCTGAATTGCTACGAGTATATAGGAGCCTGCATGGATGAGCATGGTGGACTGTGGGGCCAGGCATCTGACAGCTGGCCAATCTCCGTAAATAATTTGGGCCATGCCCGTTTGGCCTTCCTTGCAGGCATGGGTTGGTTCCCCGCCTTTGTATGCGCCATTGTTCACACAGGCGATGCGCAAAGCTGTATTCAAATTGGAGTTGTCTATTGGTGTTCTTGTGCTTTCACTACATCCACATCCACATCCAGGGCACGAGGTTCTGATTCGTGGCCACTCCCGCGCCGAAGACCGCAAACTGGCACAACCACAAGAGATAGAAGTCCATCCCCTGGGCGGCGACCTGGAAGGTCAAGCCAGACTTCGGAGCCCTGGGTGGCGCCCACGGACATGAGACAGAACAAGGACACTCGATTGCTGTCGAATCCAAATGAATCCGAATGCTGTTTTTCATGCGGAAGAAAAACATTGAAACAATCTAAAATATTCTAAAAGATTAAGATAAGTAATAAAAGTAAGGGCCTCTTTACTGTGTTTTTGGGAGCTTTTCACCCAAATGTTTCAAAATGATCGTGGTCGGTGCCATGTGCTCCGCGGCCAATCAACTGGGGCCAGCACATCAGCGACATGAGCCTGTCCTCTGCGCCCTCCGTGCCGGCTTTGGCACAGAAGAGCACTGAGCAGGGAGCAATCTGCAGGCCAAGTGCAATGAGGCCGAAGGAGGGACCAGCCATCGCTGAGCCTCTGGAATGTTCGTAGCTGGACCACACGTCAAAGCTGGTGAGAACCACCAGGAAAGCGATCAAGATGAGAAGACGACGGTGGTCTGTGCCATCCAGTGGCCCACGCCCACATTCCGGCAAAATATGTATACTGGAAAGACTGAGGGCACCCACTGCAAAGGATGCCATAGACTGAAAGGCCAGGAAGGCTGGCCTCGTTGCATAAGCTTTTCCGTGAACCCGAACTGTTATTTCTCAATTTGTACTCTGACCAAACAACAAATATGACATGTGTGCGATAATCGGCTCGACGACGGAGCCTGGCCCCTGGATCTACAGCGCTTGCTTCTCAAGTTCGCTTTTCTCCAAAGGCGTCGATGACGTCATGCGCCCACCGTTCTAGTGCATTGGAGGTTAAATGGCAACAGAGTCATGGCATGAAGTGGCTGGACTGAACATGAAAATCTCACTGGTATTGTTTTCTTTTGCCTTTGACCTCCATGCTCCACTTCCGTCAGTTCCCGGCTCTTGGGCTTCTACCAGGCTGACTAGTGGGTCTTCCATCCAAGCTCTCAGCTGGTCTCGCAGCTGCCTATTGCGCTTAGTTAGCGCGTCAGCTAACATGGCCTCAGTAGGAACCCAGCGCAGGTTGCGACAAGTCTGTCGCAGCGCAGCCACATCCATCTCCACCCTCTTCTCCGCAAAAGAGGTTGCCAGCCTGTGGATCGCATCGTAAAGCGATCTGGCATCTGTCACCGGCCAGATAGCAAAGGGTGACTTTGCTGAGTGCGAGGCGATGTAGGAGCCGTTGAACATTTCGCCAAGCATGCAACCAACAAAGTTTGCATAGTCCTCGGACTTGTCCAGGGAGGCAGCTTCAACGGCCAGGGTCGACCGAAGGACACGTTGGCGCCGGTACGACTTCCAGTCGAGCAAACTGGCTTCGGCCTGCTGGACCAAAGCATCAGGCGTGCTGGCTAGCACGATGTAGCCTCCTTGGCTTTTGCCTCCAGGAGCTTTGGCAAATGCTGAATCGCCGAATGCGATTAGCACCAACTTCTCCATGTCGATCGGCTTGATTGTCACTGCCGTGTTCGCTGTGGCCTTGACATACTTGAGCACGGAGTTGGCTTCAGCAAGGTCGCCATAGGTCAAGTCATCATGACCCTTCTGCAGCAAAGAGGTTTCTGCTGCAATGTCAGGTCGTGTGGTGCCTGGCATCCACTGCAACGATCCTGTAGCGGATCTGAACTCCGAGATTGCATCTCGGTCTGAGCCCATCTTGGCTTCATGGTCTTGCTTGACCTTTGCGATGATCACGTCGGTGGCATAGTGGCTTTGGCTCAAAGTGATGTTGCCGTTGCCATGGCGAACAATGCCGCGTCCGACAAGGACAAAATCATTGACCTCCCAGGGACTGCCCCAACTGAAAAACTTTTCAACTTCAGAGAGGATGCCTCCTGGAGTGAAGCGGCCAAAATGTCATCCACATGGATGCCCAAAACAGCTTTGACCTCCCTGTTGACCTTCTTCAGAAAGATGCAAGGGTCAAGGGAATGCTGCGCCCACTGCAACTTGT